TCACTTGGCTGCCCAGTACGCGGGGATCCGAGGCAATTCTCTCATCTTCCGCATTCTGATGTCTCCCCTTGCATCTCCAGGCGTGCAGGTCATTAAGGTATTGATTGGAGAAGATCTTTTTTGAAATTTCCCCCTGAATATGTGATATTCATGGGTTTATGATTATTCAGTTGATGATGTTTAGTTTTGCACTTATGTATAATGATTTGAACATTATTAATTACAGGCTCTGCTTGATGGTTGTACTTATCCGAGTGTCGTGCAGTACTTAGCGTGCCGTGATGTGTACACCATCGCCCCACATGTACCAGCAATGCTAGTTGACAGGGAGCTTATGGATTCCCTCATTAGCAACTGGAAGACTTTCCTTGGGAATTGTTCTGAGAAACAGACAACAAAGTATGGGTTCATTTTATCTGTCTCTTCCTTTTATTTTTCACATTCTGTTGTTTTCTGTTTGTTCATTGCAGTCTTTCTCTTTGAATTCAGAATAACAGATAATGCTTAGCAATGAGATATACTCCTTGTCTTTTCAAACTTGCTCAAACACTGTTATTGATATATAATTGCTTTCATCAACCCTTTCCAGGTACTGTGTGGATGAGAATGGGGACAGGATAAGTGTACTAGGGATATTGCTGTCAGTGCTGAAGGTGCTGGTGGCAGAGAACCAACCATATCGAGACTTTAATCTCTCTCAGTTGAGGGACATTGATGCTTTGGACAAGATTCTCTTCATGTGCAAGGTGGGAATGATTCTCTCTCTCTCTCTCTCTCTCTCTCTCTCTCTCTCTCTCTCTCTCTCTCTCTCTTAGGGGTAAGCAAAGTAAATGAATAGTAAAAGAAGTTACAAACGGTGAAACTTGGATATTGAATTATTTACTTATATGTCTCTTTTTTTTTTCCTAAATGCCACAGGAACTAGAACTAACAACGGGTTCTCTGGATGGCCTGTGTTCAGCTGACTTGGTGGTGAGTGTTGTAACAGGCCTGGTAGGAGGACTGGGACCTGGGTCTTGGAGAAATGCAGCCACAGGTCACGCACATGGGTTTTCTGCCCAGGACTCGTATTCCTCAGGCTTTTGCTCAGGTCCTTCGGGAGTTGGCATGGCAGCTACGCCCACAGGTTGGTGAATTTTTTACAGTATGTTTACAATGTGTTATTGTTGTTGCCACATAATTTTAGTACAGGAAAACTGCATAATGATGAATTTTTGCTTGAATAAATGTTAACAAGCTTTTTCTCCTTCTCTCTCTCAGTATTGTTGTATTGGATACAGCTTTGCACATTATTAATACCATTATTGATGTACTGTCTTCCAGGGATTACCTCATTTGGGATTGGGTCACCTGGAGTCCGTGTAAGAGATGTGGCAGCTGTCTATGGTTTCTTGCTGCTTTCACATCCGGCCCACCTTACTTACGCAGCTACAGAGCAACATACTGCATACTATTTGCCACAAGTTCCATCTTCAACCAACAGTAGACAAGGTGATAAAGTCTCTCTTTTTATACAAACTTGCATTTGCATATTTTTCTTTTATGGTAATGGACAAAGAACTTCAATTAACCCTTACGAGCCATCAGTGTCCCTTTAGAATTGTTGTAATGGACAATAATGGAGTATCAAGTTTGGACAGAAACCCAGCATTTGGAGTAATAATGATTAAGGTAAGTAGATACAGCTAAGAGAAGACTCCCTGAACAGAAAAGTGAATAATAGTAAATGTTGTCTTCCAATAGGATCCCTTGTGGCTATTGGGGTCGATCTGGCAGCTGAGATAAATGACGTTCCCAGGCCAAGTCAAGAAAGCCAACGCCAAGTTAGTGTGATTATTTTTCTTCTATATATTTTATTTTATTTATTTTATTTATTTATTTTTTTTAAGGATTATTATCGTTGGTGATATTTTAGTTAGTATTAGTAATACCATTATTTTTTTATCTTTACCTCTGATACCTAAATCACCTACATAGCCCTCATCAACTCATTCATTCCTGCTCTTAACAGACTGGTGATTGGATTGTGATTGGCACTAAAGATTCAGTGCTGAAGCCGCAGTCAGTAAAAAGTCAAAAGAAGAGAGACCCTGAGTCCCCCAACAAGAGCACTTCTCCAAGCTCAGGAGAGGAAGAGAATACAGACGTAGTGGACAGTGTGAGCAACAGTGAGACCGCCAGCGATGCAACCATGCCGGAGGTTGAGGATCAAGTGGATGGTGAGGTGATCCGGGAGATTGAAACCACTCTCTCGACAGTCATTCCAGTGGGAGAAGTTGCGCTTGCCAAAGAGGAAGAAGAACAGGATGTAGATGATGGGAGTTGCTTGACGAAGGCGAAAAGCAAGGACATAGAAGTTGAAATGGGTGAGGAGAAGAGTGAGAAGGAGGCAGAGACGTCAGATGAGCAGAGCCAGTACAGCAGCCCAGAGGAGTCATCTAGGAGCGAGGAAACAGAAACAGATGATAGGTATTCTGGGCAAGACAAGTCGTTGGACTGAGGATGTGATGGATACAGATGAGGATGACAGCGACGAGGAAGACGAGAGCATAGATAACGACGACCACTCCGTGCCTAACACAGGTAGTGGTTTGGGTTGTTGGGAAATGCTGGAATGGTGTTGAAGTATTCTTCTGACCACCACTACCAGGACACTGTTGGCTGAGGCTTGATTCATAGGCTCAAGTGTTGATCATGTGCAAAACAGACTGGTGATTGGATTGTGATTGGCACTAAAGATTCAGTGCTGAAGCCGCAGTCAGTAAAAAGTCAAAAGAAGAGAGACCCTGAGTCCCCCAACAAGAGCACTTCTCCAAGCTCGGGAGAGGAGGAGAATACAGACGTAGTGGACAGTGTGAGCAACAGTGAGACCGCCAGCGATGCAACCATGCCGGAGGTTGAGGATCAAGTGGATGGTGAGGTGATCCGGGAGATTGAAACCACTCTCTCGACAGTCATTCCAGTGGGAGAAGTTGCGCTTGCCAAAGAGGAAGAAGAACAGGATGTAGATGATGGGAGTTGCTTGACGAAGGCGAAAAGCAAGGACATAGAAGTTGAAATGGGTGAGGAGAAGAGTGAGAAGGAGGCAGAGACGTCAGATGAGCAGAGCCAGTACAGCAGCCCAGAGGAGTCATCTAGGAGCGAGGAAACAGAAACAGATGATAGGATTCTGGGCAAGACAAGTCGTTGGACTGAGGATGTGCTTCTTCTTCTTCTTTTTTTTTTTTTTTTTGAGGATTATTATCATTGGTGATATTTTAGTTAGTATTAGTAATACCATTATTTTTTTATCTTTACCCCTGATACCTAAATCACCTACATAGCCCTCATCCACTCATTCATTTCTGCTCTTAACAGACTGGTGATTGGATTGTGATTGGCACTAAAGATTCAGTGCTGAAGCCGCAGTCAGTAAAAAGTCAAAAGAAGAGAGACCCTGAGTCCCCCAACAAGAGCACTTCTCCAAGCTCAGGGAGAGGAGGAGAATACAGACGTAGTGGACAGTGTGAGCAACAGTGAGACCGCCAGCGATGCAACCATGCCGGAGGTTGAGGATCAAGTGGATGGTGAGGTGATCCGGGAGATTGAAACCACTCTCTCGACAGTCATTCCAGTGGGAGAAGTTGCGCTTGCCAAAGAGGAAGAAGAACAGGATGTAGATGATGGGAGTTGCTTGACGAAGGCGAAAAGCAAGGACATAGAAGTTGAAATGGGTGAGGAGAAGAGTGAGAAGGAGGCAGAGACGTCAGATGAGCAGAGCCAGTACAGCAGCCCAGAGGAGTCATCTAGGAGCGAGGAAACAGAAACAGATGATAGGATTCTGGGCAAGACAAGTCGTTGGACTGAGGATGTGATGGATACAGATGAGGATGACAGCGACGAGGAAGACGAGAGCATAGATAACGACGACCACTCGTGCCTAACACAGGTAGTGGTTGGGTTGTTGGAAATGCTGGAATTGGTGTTGAAGTATTCTTCTGACACCACTACCAGGACACTGTTGGCTGAGGCATTGTTCATGGATCAAGTGTTGATCATGTGCAACCACCCTCAGCCCATTATTAGGTGTTCTGTCTTTAAGGTAACTTTTCCCTTTTTCTTTTTTTTTAAGCTTCTGTTTTATGTATTAAGTTGAGCAGTAAAGAATACATTGTCTTCATTTTGGTTAAAGAGGAATTTTGAATGCTTTTTACTTCAGACCATAGTGCTGATGAATGACCATGGTTCCTCACTCTTATTGCCAACAGCTGTTTACCGTGATACTAGACAGGTGCTCCCCAGAGGACATGGTCATACACCTGCGTCAGAATGTTCCATTAGTGATGGCTCAGCAGCTGCACAAACACAGCACGATTTCTACACAGCTAGTCACTGCTGCATTTTCCCTTGCTCTGGGACGATCTTTTACCTTTGAGGACTATGCCATTGATAGTGACCCAAGCCTTGCTCTTCCTAATCAGGTGAGATTTTGTGTGTGTGTATGAGTGTGTGTGTGTGTGTGTGTGTGTGTGTGTGTGTGTGTGTGTGTGTGTGTGTGTGTGCATGCATGCATGCGCGCACGCGCGTGCATATGTATGTGTATACATGTGTTATGATGTGTGTACAGTAAGACCCCAACTTAAGAACATAATGGGGACCGAGAGGCTGTTTGTAAGTTGATTTGTTTGTATGTCGAAAGTCGGGTCTCCATTACCTTTTTTCCCCATTGTTTTAAAGTTTTGTTTACATTAAGAATACCTGTAAATAAATCCCAATAAGTACGACATATCTTATACAGTACCAGACTCTTGAACTATATTCGTGCCCAGGAAATTTGAAGTTTACTAGCATCTTTCAAACAATTTTTTGGACTTTAGTACTTAAAACATTTTGTTTGTATGTATGGAATGTTCATAAGTAGAATGTTCTTAAGTAGGGGACTATCTGTATATTGCAAATTCTACTGATAATATGATAAGCTTTCATGATTATGTAAGCATTGTGCGTTTAGCCAGCGCAGTTTAGGTTTGATGACAGGTACATGTAAGTAATAGTTTTTGTTAAGAGTTTTTACATGGGAGCAAATTTATTTAGTCAGGGCTTTCTTATGCAGGTCACTAATTCTTAAAAATGTGATCAGTATCTTTGAATTTTAAGTGTGTGCATGCAGACATTTGCTTTACAAGAAGCATTTCAAGGTGAACTTCCCCCCCGCCCCTTTAAATCTTAAGTGGTGTCGTCGAAAGTGGAAAAACGCTCTGTTCCTCTGCCTTTCCTAACGCCTCTGAACCATTTCCTCAGGTGGTGCTCTTCATCCCGCTGATGGCTCTGTTGCCGCACTCAGCCCAGGACATTGCTCTGTGCCACAACTCCCTTATGGTTCTGCTAGACCTCCTTCACAAGGTTAGTGTATGAAAACCATGATACTGATTGTAGTAAAAGTATAGCTAGGTGTAATATAATCTCTTATTTTCCAGTTTTCTTTCAATCATAGGTTATATGTTGTAGGTATTTGTTTGTTTGCATGTCTTTGAGGGAATTGTAAAGTAGGGTGACAGAATGTAGCTGCATGTACTAATATCATTGGATCAGCAGCTAGACTAATTGGAAGGTTGATAGATAAATGGAGCATATTTTGCCAGGTTCGCATTCACCAGCACATCTGATCATTACACAGTCCCCAGATTCCTTATGTCCACATACTGTTTCCAGAATACTGAGCTGATCATTCCACTCATTCACAAAGCTCACTTTGTGGACTCACTCCTTTCCACCATGAAGAAGTCTCTGCATGACAACAACCTTGGCATCAATGACATCACAGGTGAGAGTGAGTGTGAGGTGGTGGTGTCTGACATCACTGAAATCTTCTCCTGGATCATCAACTGCCTGGTAGCATCGCCCCAACACAAACACTTCATGGTAGGTACTGTTGTTTATAAGGAAACCTCTTTTATATCTTTAATTATCATTAAGTTGCTTTCTTCACAAAAAAATAATAGTAATACATTTCAAATTAATTGCTTCACATTACCAAAATATAAACCCCATTTCTTTGCTTCAGCTGAGTCTCGAGGTGCTTCACCAGCTAAATCTCTTATGTCGAGGAGAAGCAGCCCAGTGTGGAGGCCAGGCCAGTTGTGTGGGGCACTTGCGCAGCACAGAGGCAGCTCTTTTGCAAGTTGCTCTTACACGTATTCAAGCCACAGCCTCCACACATCTTCATTCTATTGGACAGGATTTAAGTAACAGTATCAGAGGTAAGCTTTTTCATAGAAAAGGATAGATGATAAAGATTGGAAATATGTCACACTGTATTTTTATTTTTCTGTTAAGGCAGCTTTCATGATGACTTTTTTTTTCTTTTTTCCTTTTTTAGAGGAGAAGACCTTTGCAGTGTCTGGATCATCCAGTCTACACAACATCAAGCTGTTTGCCACCATGGCAGCTCGCGAAGACAGTGATTCAGGCGTTGGATCTGTTTTAGCCAATTACACAACTATTCCCTTAACACACAGGTCAGAAATGCCTTTGATTCTTTTGCAGTGAGATAGATTCAGTTAATAATCCATAGCAATAATATTAATTCCTACACCTTTCTCCGCCAGAGGTAGAATGCAGTAGGTATTTTACCATATCATTATATCATATTTTTGTTTTGTTTTCAGCTTGCACAACATAGCTGATCAGCTGTTCATGTCTCAGAGCCGCAGTTCTCCATCCCTCGCTCTTAGTAATGCAAAAAAGGAGGACAAAGTTCTTGCCCATTCTGAGATAGTTGACAGATTTAAAGTGCTGTTGCAGAAAGCTACAGATTTTGTGTTCATGTCTGGTATGGGACAATTTATCTGTTTTGTTTATCATTTACTTCCAGTTTACATTAACCTTTCTGCATATGTGAGAAACAAATTAAAAAGTTAGGAGAATCTTTATTTTGGAATATTCTGTTCTAATGGGTTTGGTATTTGTAATGCTTTACTGTATTTTTCATTGTAATGCAGCATGGTCATCTGTAGAGTCTGTGGGCAATGAGATGCCATCTGGTGGTGCACCAGAAACCTTCAGCTTGTTCCTGCTTGAACTCCTTTTAAGCGCAGCTGCAACCATCACACAGCGGAAAGGTAAGGTGGAAGGCATCTTTTTATCTGTGTGATTTGGATAAGTCTTGTCCTTTTACTGGTATGATTTGGATACATGTGGAGTTTAAGGAGTGATTCAGATTCAGTTGTTTGAATTTTTTATTCTAGCTTGACTTTGTAGTTTGTATAGTGTTATGGATGATAGTTTACTTATTGGTTGTAATGTTTTTTTCCATACACATATAATTCTTACCTTCTTTTTAAACTATTCAAATATCATACCTAAAGCGAGTTCAACCCAAACAGGCACAGCCGATCGCACTGGCTGGGAGCGTGTAGTGTGGGGTTGCCAGGATATTTTGAGACTACACCTCACACATCTCCTGGCTCTGGTCACATCCCCTAGGACACACATCCACACCCGGCTCAGAGCTGCTCAATC